TCTTCTCAGTTTGACCCTTCTACATGAGTTATGTTGCATTTCGTGGATGAGGGCAGTAACTTGGTGAGCCATTATTCCCGAATTGAATTCCTGAATTGAATTCCTGATTAACTTTTACTCATGTTTTCTGCAACCTTATCCGGTATATGAGCCACCCTTTCCATCAGTGGTATCAGATAATGAACCCATAGTCCCTGAGATTCCTGTAACCTCAGAGGTAATAGTCTCACGGGTGCCTGCGTGCCCGATAGTTGATATTGATGAACCTCCTTATTCTCTTGCTGGTGGTGGAAAGTCTTCCCCTCAACGAGGATTTAATACTCTTCCTGGTGAAACCCCAGGGCTAAGTCAGGTACATTTCTTATCTCCAAAGCCTCTTTTTGCCTCAAACTGTATTCTTGTCTTGACCTGGTCCTTTTGGCTTTTCGCAGCAAGTCCTGAAAGAGACTTCCCCCCCTCGTTTGGTCTGTAAGTCAAAGTGCTCCCGTCCTCATTTATCTTCTGGAGGTACAGAGATTCCCCCTTCTGGAATTGAGAAGATCAGGCAGGCAGAGATTGCCCCCAGTGGGCATTGCTCCATTAGAGGGAGCTGCAGTGCAGGATCCTCCTCATTTTCCATCCTCAAACCCTGCTAAGTTGCCCAAACTTTTTGAAGCACTTGGGCGGCTTGAGACGAGGTTGAAATCCTCAAGACATACTTCAGCGACCTCCAGTTCTTCAGAGCAACAACGAGTCTTCCAAGAATGGGCGAGGAAGGACTTTACTGCATTATTCAGCCTCAAGGCTCTTTGTGATTTAGAAAAGGTCACAATTGAGTCTTTCAAAACAGGTCGGCTATCAAAACCTCAGCACGATTCCTTTCTCTCTTTCTTTGAGAATTTAAGGGCCCTTAGGGAGCAATACCAGAGAGCTGATAGACAAGCTAATCGGGCAATATGCTTTATGGAGAAAGAATCAAGCATCTCCGCTTAAGTTGATCGGTTGATGGATGAAAGCTTGCGGACAAAAGAAAGGGTTAGAGTTGTTACTTCTGAAATCCAAAAGCTGGAAGAACAACTGGTTGCTCTTAAAACTGAACAAGCAACTCTTCTGGATACCCTCGAAAACCAAATTGAGGGAGTAGAGAAGTCAAACTCGGAGTTAGAGCATACTATGTCCCAACTTGTAAATAGCCATACTGTTTTGGCCGAACCTAGTAGGATATTTGCCATTATGCAGACATATCATTCTCGAATAGTGACCCTGAGTGAAGATGTTAATTTTTTAGAATAGGATGATTTGTAACCCTTTTCTTATTGGAATGAACATGTGTTTTGTCCCCTGCTCTGCTCTTGGTACTGTTTGAATTGACTTCGGGCAACTCTTCCCCCCCTTGATTACTTTCTTCTTTCTTCTACTTCCCTCGTTAGCAACAATCTTAGGGCCTGATCTTAATTCCTTGGTCCCCTTCATGGTACTTTTATTCATGCAGGGGTGTTGGGACAACCCGAGATCTTTTCTTTCCTTTGCTGTACCAACTGGTGACCCCGGCTCTTCTTTTTAAATGAGGTTGATCATACTGATAGGAGCCTCCAGGAAAGGGTTTGTATCCACCATCATACTGGCTTGGGGCTTGTCAAGTAACAGTTTTCCCTTCACTATCAAGTCTTGTACCCAATCTCTAAACTGGACACAATTGACTATGGAATGGTTGAAGGTATAGTGTAGCTTACAATACTTCTTCCCTCTGAGTTCTTCTGGTTTGGGCATCTTTTTGGTATTGTCGGGCAAAATTACTCTTGCCCGCACCAGTTCTTCATAGATCTCAGGTGCCTTGGCCAGATCGAACGAATAACTTTGGTACTTGGGTGGTTTCATGGGGAAGAAACCACCATCGTTCATTACGATCTTTTGATCTTTGACAGGTTGGACTAGCCCTTTTACTGTCAGTGGTTTGAAAGGTGTGGTCATTTCAGCGGCACATACGTCAATGTCTTCTTCATCATGGCCACCCTCATGCTCTGGCCTGGTTTCTCCTACTTCCACACGATGAATTGCAGCTTTGTTTTTGTAGAAGGGAGGGACCTTGGAAGTGTGCTTCACTTGTTGCTCTTCTTGCAACAGCCTTTCATACTTAGTGGCAGCAATTACCAATTCTTGCAGCTCGTTGAATTGTGTATCATAAAATCTCTTCCTCAAAGGTAATTTCAGAGCCCTTTGAGCAATTGATATGAGCTGCGCTTGGTTGTCGGGGAATTGGCATCTCATCCTTGTTTTCCTGAACCTCATCATGAAGTCCTCAGTAGATTCATGATCGTATTGTTTGACTTCAACAAGGTCATTGATAGTCAATTCTGGCTCTATTCTGTAAAACTGTTCGTGGAACGCCATCTCCATTTGCCCCCAGTTGGCAATAGAGTTAGGGGGTAATAGAGAGTACCACTGAGATGCTAAACCCGCCAATGAATTCCCAAACAACCTCAATTTATAATTTGGGTTGCCCTCATATGCCACACAATGATTGGAGAATTTGAAAATGTGGTCTCTAGAGGACACGCTACTGTCTTCACCTGTGAACGTTGGGAATGCAGGCATCTTGAAGTTGAGAGGGAATAGATTTAACTCGTCAATATATTCAGGATAAGGCTTTTGGTAAGTGACCCTGAACACTGGGCGAGCCCGCGGTTGAGCATTTTGAGCTACTGTCATTCTTAGCTCAGCCAATTCTTCCCTTAGCTGCTGAGTAGCTGAATTATCATTATGACCGATGAGAGCAGTTTCGATCTTTGGGCTCCGGTCGTTGCCCGTACCTGCTTCTCTCCTTGGTTTGGGCTTCCTCCAGTTAGTTCCTCATCCCTTATTAGCCAACGGGGGTGGCCTGTAAGGTGGAGGTTTATCTGAAGTAGTGGTGCCTTCCTTTCTGCTAGTCTCCCCTATCATTATAGGCATTCCATACTTCATTCTCTCTTGCTCGCTCTACCTCCTATTATTAAACGATAATAATGGAAAGCTGATAGGCTCTTTTTCCAGAACTAGCTTTATCACAGGTTGACTCCCTTTAGGAACCACTTTATTCTTTCCCTTATCATTTTCTTCTTCTAATAGTGGGAATAAGGGAATGATTGGTTCACTTCTCATGGTAACTTGGCTCATCCCACTTTCCTGAGCCCCTTTTGGAGTAGAAAACTCCAGATTAAGTCTTCTCTGTAGATTCCCTGTTAATGTACAGAGCCTACTCACTTCTCCCTTGGTTTCCAAGGAGATTCTTTCCATGCTTTTTAGTACTTGGATCATAGTAGCTTGTAGTTCTTCACTAGTTCCCTTCCCTTCCGATCTTTCAGATGAAGTTGGGCTTTCTAGGACCACTCGTCCTGATGGGGAAGAAGGATCTCCTGATTGATCTGCCATTTGTAGGAGAAAAGGTTGAGAGAAACCCTCATTCGGATTCTTTTTACCAATTTTGTGGCTTTTCTTTTTGGATAAGCAAGATCAAAAGGTGTATGGTCCCACTGGGCGTGCCAAAACTATGTTCGTGTCAGGAATTTCCGTCGGGGACATTTCATGGCCGACGAGCGCACAGCTTCCCGGGAGGTTGGCGCCGGTTGAGGGCTGTTGTCGGGCTTCTGCTTCACTGTCGGGCTTTGTCGGGCAAGGCTTATCGGGCAAGACTCGTCAGGCACGGCTTGTCGGGCAAGGCTGGAAGAGAACGACAGCGTTAACTTTGAGAGGTGCCTTTGTGGGGCCTTAGGTGTAGGCCTTGAGGCTCACAATCAAGATTAACTTCTAAGTACTCAGGCGTGACACTGCCATCTTTAGCATGACAGATGTAAAATGGATGTCGCGTTTTAGTTGTATATATATATATATATATATGCCTGAGAAACCGTGTTAGTTATAACAGATGCCTTTGTGGGGCCTTAGGTGTAGGCCTTGAGGCTTCCCATCAGAATTCGTTCTTATACTCAAACATTCTAGACCGCAGAATGAAATGAATCCAAATAGGTGCCTTTGTGGGGCCTTAGGTGTAGGCCTTGAGGCTTCCTATCAGAATCCATTCCATGCTTAAGCGTTATATGATAATCATAATATAATAGAAATAAAACTAAGGGGTAGGTTGATTACTTGCGCCCCAAGTAAATTCGGACTTCTTGTTTATCAAGGACTATCGTGGATGGGTTAAGTCCACATAAGGTTCTTTTTTATGCCTTGAGGCCAAGGACTTTCAACTGATCAAATTTACATGCCCGAGGGCTTAGAACTTAGATCTGATTTGAACAATGAAAATATATTCAAATCGGATCCAAGTACTAAGAGATTCTTTTAATAGTCATCTTACTAGATATAACTTGAATACAACTGAAAGTATACAACATATTGCTAGGTTAATGAATGAAAAGACAAGAACAAATAAGGTCGGGCAAGGTTTAACCTTGTCGGGCAAGCCTGGTTGTTTTGCAGGTTCCTATCTTTGTGGCTTATCAATGGTCTGAGAGCTTTTAGGGAGAGGTAAGGAGAGAAGTTTACAAAGAGAAATCGATACTACAGCAAGGTTGAACAGGGTAGCAGAGCTATTACAAGGGTTTGAGTGAAGGCTTGTCTCGAGAGGGATGAAGGTTTGGGCTGACTACAGCTTCGTTTTGAAGGCAAATCTGGCTTTGAGCAGAGTTTGTGCTTGCATTTGTTTGTTTGTTTGAGTATCCTTAATCCTGATTTCCCTTTCTTCTTTTATAGACAACTCAGCTTGGCCTCTTGTAGCAGCAGCCTTGCCCGAATGCAACTTGAGAGGCAGTGACTCATCGGTTTTTTTACTTGTTCTGCCATTATAAAGTACTTTATGGGCTGTATAGCTGGTCAGTCTATACCACTTGGCCTTTGGGTAGGTGAGTAAGTGGTCTTCATGAGCTACACCAAGTCAGAAAAGCCATTTTTTGCTTTCTGGGCTTTGGCTTGGCTTTAGACCGATTCTTCCTTTAGACATCTTTTGGGCCAGCCTCTTCCGAGCCTAAAGTTCAAGTTTTGATCCAAACATGAATTACTGCGGTCTTACCTTTTTCAGCGCCGGTGGAAGAGGAATCTTGACGTCTAAGGTAGGAAGGTAGGAGACGTTAGGTGAGCTGCCGCTGCCAATTTTAGGTAATTTTGACCACAAAAGCGATGCAAAGCCCGCCCCCTCTCTCTCCAACGCAATCGCAACGGCAGCGTTTAGACCAACCACCTAGGGTTTCACAGATGGAAATTCAACCGCCGCTGCCCTCCGACGACACCTCCACCGTCTGGGAATGGGGAGATCTCTTCGATTTCACCGTCGACGATGACTTGTCGATCTCGTGGGGCTCCGCCGAGTATCCGGACCCCGAAGTCGGCCCGGCCCCGGAGCACCTGCTGGAGGATCCGAATTCCAATTCGAGTCGGATAAGGAAGCGGGACCCGAGGCTGGCTTGCCCCAACTTCTTGGCGGGTCATATCCCCTGTGCGTGCCCCGAGATCGACGCGAAGATGATGGAGCTGGAGGAGGAGGAAGCCGGGCACGGGAAGAAGCGGGTCAAGACGGGTCGGGCCCCGAACGGAACGGCCCGGTGTCAGGTCCCGTCTTGCGGCGTCGATATCAAGGAGCTGAAGGGGTATCATCGGAGGCACAGAGTGTGCCTTGCCTGTGCAAATGCCAGCACTGTCGATATCGACGGTGAGAGCAAGCGCTATTGTCAGCAGTGTGGCAAGTAAGCCGAAGTTTTTTTTTCCGAAATTAGGGTTCTTGATTGTATTGTTTCAGCTATGGCAGTTTCGTTTTTAGTAGTTTGGAAGTGTTTTACTGAGTAATGTTTTCGGATAAATTGGTTTTCGAGCTTCTCAATTTGTGAGCTGTGATTGTAATCTTACTTAGTCACTAGGTGCTAATGACGAGGACAGCTTGCACGAGTCGTTTTGGCTTCGAATTGATTATCAATTTGAAGGCTTTACCTAAGTTGGGGAAGAAGGGTTTCTTTGGACTTGTTAGCTCCGAAAAATGCGGAGTAGTGACTGTTTAAAAGCAATGGCAACAGTTTCAGCCCTGCCTCTATTAGAATGGCATGAAGTCTCTTTGTGTTCCCGAGCGAACACGGTAGAGGAATTTAGTTACTCAAGGCTTAGATTGAGATATATTAGTACTAATATGCAGATTCATTAGTGTAAAAGCACATGATTTTTCTTAACTGAGGTATCATTTGAATTTGTCTTTGGAACTGTTTCCATGGTTGATTTCTTGTTCTTAGGTGAAGGGAATCAGAGAAATTTTCTTAGGAACAAGACAAGCATCACTTTATTAAAAAAAGATATGCCTTCTAATATTGTAGAATTGTCACTATTCTGTTTTATTGAGGAACTGCATGTATTATTTTAAATTGTTGTAATGTGCTAGTTTTATGTTAATATTGTTTTTGTAATTTCGTTTCTGCATGTGTGCCCATTCTTTGGCAGGTTCCATGTCTTATCAGACTTTGATGAAGGTAAGCGGAGCTGTCGAAGAAAATTAGAGCGTCATAATAATAGACGGCGAAGGAAACCTAGTGCTTCTAAAGGAGCGAGTGGAAAGGAATCACAAAAGGAAAATCAAACTGAAGAGACCAATTTTGATGGTGGAGCAACAGAAGGTATTTGATATTTGTTTTGATGCAAACAGCTTGTAAAAGAGTACTAAAGCTGCAACACTGCTTTGGAAAAAGAACCTACGTCTAATTGTATGAACAATGTACAGATTGTTTACAGTTAAGCAGTCAGTTAAATGAGAAGGAAGAATTGCTGGAGTCTCAAGGTGGGCAAACTCCTATCCTCTGTTCAGTGCCTGAATCCCAGAATATCCGTAGTGACAGCGGTGTATCATTTATGGCTTCTGGTGAAACCCAAATGGATGCAAGAAAACATGATTCTAACAACTCCCTTTCTCCGTCAAATTGTGACAACAAAAGCTACTCTTCTATGGTAGGTCTTTGCTGAATGTCATTGCTTTTGCATGGGTAACATGAGGAGCTCTGTTTGAGGCGTACTGATTTGATACATTCTTGTAGTGTCCAACAGGTCGTATATCATTCAAGCTCTATGATTGGAATCCAGCAGAATTTCCTAGAAGACTTCGGCACCAAGTACTATTAAAAGATTGTCATTACAGTTTAGTATACATAGGGAGAATTGTTTTTTAATGGAAAATATCAGGGAGCAATAAACAAGTGGGCTTATGTGTTTTCAGATATTCGAATGGTTAGCCAGTATGCCGGTTGAGTTGGAGGGATATATCCGCCCCGGATGTACTATCTTGACTATTTTTATTGCAATGCCTAATTTTATGTGGATGAAGGTAATGGTGTTGGCAATCTTATTCGTAAGATTGAGTTTGTCACAGCTTTTCTCTTACCTTCACTCTATAAATTTTGTTCTACAACTTTGGTTTTGATCTTCTTTTTTTTTTAATTTAATTTAATTTTTTTTTTTTTTAATCAGTTGCTTGAAGATCCTGTATCATATCTACATGAATTTGTTATTGTACCTGGGAAAATGCTATCCGGGAGAAGCAATATTCTGATTTATCTAAACGACATGATTTTCCGTGTTGTAAAAGGTAATCTGATGCTTCATATCGGTGTTATGTTTCTATTAGATTATTGCGTTTTAGGTTGGGAAAGTAATTGGTCTTTACTAGTAGTTTGAACTACTAACATGCTTCTTTTTATTTTGATATGCACAGACGGGACTTCTGTAAAAAAAACGAAAGTGGAGGTGCGGGCCCCAAGGCTTCATTACGTTCATCCTACATGTTTTGAGGCTGGCAAGCCCATGGAGTTTGTTGCCTGTGGAAGTAATTTATTACAGCCCAAATTTCGGTAGGGCTTTCAATCAGTGTTTTCCACGTGTTTTTAGTAGTTTATTGTGCTGTACCTTTGATTCACTCCTTTTGGCTGTTTCTTGTAGCTTGTTATGCACACACTGTTCCCTATAAACTGTAATTTGTTTGAATAGTTAATAAACTTGATGGAGAGAGGGGAATCTACTTGATGGACACTATATAGACTTGTCACTATTTGATAGTAAGTAATGTAATCACTAGTCTTCTCTGTTGCTTCTCAACTTCAACACTCATAGTGATCTTGAGATGTATATCAAATGTGGAAAATATTTCTAGTTGTCTGATGGCATCGACTGATTAGTCTTCTACTTTTGAAGCTTAATACCAAACAAAGTAATTCTCATTTGTTTAAAGCTTTGCATTTTGGTGTATAATTTTCTGTTAGCTGTTTCATGCATGCAGAGAGCAAAACTGCTGTCACGTAAGCTTCCTAATAAAGATCATTATGGTTACAGGTTTCTGGTATCCTTCTCCGGGAAATATCTGGAATATGATTATTCTCCTCCATCTTCCCATAGTCAGATTGATGGGGACACTGCTAGTAATTTAGACCATCAGTTCTTCCAGATACAGGTCCCTCAGACTGAATCAGATTGTTTTGGTCCTGCATTTATTGAGGTAAACATTCTGATTTATTTTCTCTTCTTACTTTTCCTTTTACACCACGTTCAACTATCAGCAGGGACATTCTGTCTATCTACATGGTTGTTCGTCATCTGTAAATATTTCTGATGCATATTTAGCCTCATTGTTGTGTATATCTTGTCTATTCATATTTCCAGACTCCAGTGATCATAAGAGTGTTATGACCAGGGATTTTTAGTGGTTAGTTTATTTAGCTGGTTGTGCATTGATGAGAGTGCTCGCTCTTCAAACTGGCATCTCGTATGGTATCTGGGACAATTACGTAGGTTTGCTGATAACGTTAACGACAAGATATAACTATGGACGGGAATCTGCTGTATCTGCACTGTTCCAGATTCATGTAGATAAAATTAAAACTTTAACACTCATGTAGATATAAACATACTTTTCAATAGCATCTTAAAGCATGATACTTGTTTTGGACTTACCAGGATTTTCTTTTGTTACGTAATTTAATATTGATGGAATCTGTGTTGCAGATTGAGAATGAATCTGGCTTGTCCAACTTTATACCGGTACTCATTGGGGACAAAGAGGTTTGTGCAGAAATGAAGACTATTCAGAAGAGATTTGATGAATCTCTCTCTTTGCAAGGATTACACTTTTCTTCTAGGGTTTCCCTTTCAAACTCTTGTGAAGCATCTTCAATGAGGCACACAGCATTTTCTGACATTATTTTAGATATAGCATGGTTACTAAAAAAACCCTTGTCGGAAAACTTCCAACAGATCATGACTGCTTCACAGATTCAAAGATTCAACTATCTATTGAACTTTTTGATATCTATCAAGTCAACAACCATATTGGATAAAGTTTTACAAAATCTGAAGACTCTAATGGTTAACATGGAGTTAAACAGTGCAAATAATGACAGCGTTGACGCAGATATGAGGCTATTACAGAATTACATGAAATATGCCCGTGATCTTCTTTGTAAAAAATTCGAAAGCTCTGGGGTTTCAGTCAGAGAGTCTGGAAGGTTGGTGAAAGAAGAGGATCTTGTTTCTCAAAGTCAAACCTGCTTTCAGAATGATGGAAAATCGGTTGCTCCATTCCACTGTGAGGTGAGTGCTTCAGTTTTCATATTTTGTATCCTCTGATATCGGGTAATCCTAGTTAAGATAGCTTTTCACTTTACACTTGACTCATTATCAATTTAGCACTTGTTCTGATCTGGTGCTACAAGCCCCTTGCACTAGTCAAGGAATTATTTGATTATACGATTTGGCTAGGTTATGGTTGGGCTTACAATCCTGGTTTTTTTCCGCCCATTTTAAAATTGAGATTACAGCTTTACTTCGGCCATCTATGATCGTATAATAGCTATTTTGAGTAATTCACCATTAAATTTATATCTGTAATAAAATGTTTTCGAACTTCTAGCCTGTAAGAGGTCTTCATTGGGAATATGGTTGTTTTGTTGAGCACGATCAATGACTATATGTATAAAATTTCTGTGCTCGTTATTTTCTCTCGTCGTAGTTTAGCATTATTTATTTCATAAACTGATGCGTGTTTTGTTACATAAATTGTTATGTAAAGCAGGATACGGAGATAACTGTAGATGGTAGGCTGGGTATAACTGCGGGTTCAACTGCTAATGAGAGAAGTGAAACTGTTCCGCTGTTGAGTAAAAAAGCAGTTGGTAAAGCCAACTTCATCAAGGAATTGCCTAGCGTGGCTAAGTGTTGCACTTCCGGGGAGGTCTTAAGGTCTCGCTCTAGTGGGATGTTCTTGAGATTTCGCCCTGCACTTTTTGTAATTTCTGCTACAGCTATCTGTGTAGGGTTATGTGCAGTCCTCATCCATCCTCACAAGGTTGGCGAGTTTGCAGTATCAATACGCAGATGTTTATTCGACAAATTTTAGATGTTAAGGCTCTTTTTTTCCCTCTCCCTTCAATGTATTTCGCAACCCCTTAATCTTCTGTTCATATATCTCCGTTGTACACAACTTTCTAACACTAGGTTAAGACAAGCGGCTAAAACGCTTTATCTTGTCACCGTGTAGTTCTTCCGGGTGTGCTTCTGGGCGATGTTTACCCACGGCGTTTGAGGTAGTAAGATTTTTTTTTCTAAATTTTTGTTGTAATGTCTGTAGACAGGTTGCCTGTTGTGCTTAGTTAATAAGAAACCATGGTTTTCCAATGGGATTGCTTCCAAATTGTAAAATTGTAATGATCTGAAATAAAGGGCTTTTTAAATTTTAGTTTTCAAACTTGCCATCAATTTTTTAATTATTATTATTATTTTATTTATTTAATATAATTATCATTTGACGGTCAAGTATAACTCATGTCAATATATGTCTGTAATACAATCACTATATAAATATTGTAGCCAAATTTCTTGAAGGACTAGCTACAATAGTATTGTAGCTAAACTTTGAATTACACGTAAGAACACAAATGATTGGAAAAACTATTGTATGGTATTGGAACACAATCACATGTTTATATTTAAAGTATGGGTGAGTGTGACCGTGTTTAGATTGATTGATTGATGACAATGGACCGGTGGATGTTAACATTTTATAATTCCACTGCTTTTTGTTTTATTATTTCTATAAAAAAATCAATATAAAATGTTGACGTGATTTAATCGTGATTACATAAATAGAAGAGGATGGAAAGGAAATGGGATGGGGGAGGACAGATAATCCAGGTCCCAATTTCAATCCACTTTGGTTCAAACGAACCCACATCGAAAATTAATCTCACCCTCAAACAATAACTGATGAATAGTTAATTGGTTTTTATATGATCGAAATTTGTAATTGGAGGAATCAAACATCTCTACAAGTAAGCAAGTAAATTTTTTTTTATAATTAATTAAGTGCAGTAACCTTGACAAATAATTAACAACAATCAAATAAGAAAAGAAAACTTCTTGAAGATGCGAGTGAGATTTGTTGGTGATAATATTGTTTATATATTTTGGCTCAACTTTGAATCTCCCGATCACAAATTATAAGAAAAAGTGTTATTCTTACTATTTATTTGCATTCTTTTTTTAGTAGAAATGCGGTTCATACTGGATCTTACTTCTATTAAAAATATGATACAAATAAATGATATGTTCAAATTAGTCTTTTTTTTGTAATGTTAAGGGGACTAAATTTTCAAATCAAATTATACAAACTAATGATATGCTTGTTGATGATTCAATTATTAATTCAGTATTACATAATTTGATTTGCAAATTTGATGTCCTTATCCTTTTTATTTTGTTTGTGTTGGGTGAGAAATTTGATGGTCACCAAATCAGCCGGCAAAGGTCCCACTCTTTTGAGTCTGAGACCGTCTAGACTCATCATCGTTTGTTTCAGCATGACGACGCCCTGCATTCAAACATGTATGGTTCCACGTTAACGATCTCTCCTTCCACCCAAATTCCTTTCACGGCGGCGATTACTCGACTCTCGGGCTCTGTTCAAATTTACACGGCCCTTCTCCTCTAACCCAATTCGTAGGGATCGAAGCTCGGTTCGCGCAGGTAAGTCACTGCAGCTCTGGTTATCTTCAACGGCTAAATTTGTAATCATTTGCCTGCAAATGTTGAATGGGAGCTCAAAGTTCGAATCTTTTGTTTGAATAATATCTGGGTTTGGTTAAAGTTTTCTGATTAATCTGAGCTCTGCTTTTACTGTGTGTGTGTGAAGTGTGAAGTGTGAGTAAGATGATTCAGGTTTGAACTTTAAAGTTAGGAACTTTTTAGCTCTGGGCTCTGAATTATACACTTTTACTGTGCAGTTTTTACCCTAATCAGAACTAAATTCCATTGATAATTTGATATGAAGGTCCATTGAGTAGTGGGTACTGAGTAAAATTTAGAAAAAATGAGTTACATAGCGAGGTTTGGTAAAGATAATAGCGCCTGTGATACCGGAAATTCTGCTGAAGGTTCGGGTTCAAGTAAAGGACCTGATGAAGTATCCAATGATTTTGATCATGAAATTGCTCAACTTACCAAGCATAAATCAAGACCCCATCAACTTTTGCGCGGGGATATGCCTGGGAAGTTGAGGTTACCGGTTTCAACGATGAAAATGCTGGTCGGTCGCGAAAGTAATCATTCAGGGCGGGGGAGGTTCTCATCGGCAGATTGTTGCCATGTTTTGAGCCGGTATCTGCCCCTAAATGGTCCTTGGGGGGTGGACCAGTCCAGAAGCCCTGCTTATGTTTCTCAATTTTCCAATGATGGTTTGTTTTTTGTTGCTGGATTTCAGGTATTGTAATTTTAGCTTAAAGTTATAATTCATTTTTATTGTTGTGATTTTGAATTGTTGTACTTAAAATTCAATTTCTCACTATGCATGCACACAAGTGCAGTTTTGAAGTCCTAGTTTCCTTTTTCTTATAACGAAACAGGGAGGCCATATTAGAATATATAATGTTGAAAAGGGATGGAAAGTTCAGAAGGATATCCTGACCCAAAGCTTGAGATGGACAATTACCGATACGTCTCTATCACCGGACCAACGTTATCTAGTGAGTTTCTGATGTTTTGTTGAATAAGAAGAAGCTTGTCTATATAACTACGACTTTACAATCTGAACCTATTCTTCCTTGATGATATACACATAAATGTAAATACTGCATGGTCCTGATAGTTCCGAACCCATATTTATCTTACTGCGTGTTTTGACTGCCGATGGAGCTTCATTTATAATTGTCATCTTTTTAGTGATTTTACTTTTTCTGAGTTTCTTAACTTAATCAGTCACACTTCTAATTTGATAAAAACACAGGTTTATGCTAGCATGACACCGGTTGTCAATATTGTGAATGTGGAATCTTCTAAGACAGAGTCACTTGCAAACGTTACGGTATGTGAAACTAATGGTCCTTTTAGTGCTACTAGCTTTGAGTATCATATGAAATAGCTCGTAGATACGAGTTTAATTGGTTCATCTACAGATTTGGTAATCAACAATGTTCCTGGGGATTCTTTTTTAATTAACCTATATTGTTTTTCAGCATAATCTTGTATGAATCCTTGTTATCATCTTTTAAAGTAGATATCTTTATCAATGTTACAAGATCACAAGATCTGGAAGATGTTTATCCGAAATTAGCTAGGGATAATTGTCTTGGATGATCTGTTAAAGGTGATGGTATCTGAATTGTAGTATAAGCTACCATCTGTTGAATCTCAAGGTGGAGATCTTCTGGTAAAGGAAAAGGAAGTATCCAATTTGATGATGTCTTTGTTTCTAAATTATTGTTTTTTCTGAGTAATCTATTGTGGCATATTGATGGCTTTAGAAGATGTTACAGCTCACCCTATAATGCTCATTATAACGTGAATTCGTACTTTTTGGAGTTTACAGTTTTACTAATCAATTGATTATTCACTTCTAAGTCGGTTGCTTTTCTATTATGATTGCTACAAAGAGTCACCTTCAAGTTCGTACTGTTTTTTTTTTTACATAAAACATTGCCTTTTTATTCAGGAAATTCATGGAGGTCTAGATTTTTCTATTGATGACGATGAGGATGAGTTTGGAATTTTCTCAGTTAAATTTTCAACTGATGGGCGAGAGCTTGTAGCTGCAAGTAGTGATGCTTCAATATATGTTTATGATCTACAAGAAAATAAAGTTAGCCTCCGAATACCAGCACACCAGGTAAAGGATCTAACAAAAGAATATACTCAAATTACTTCTTTATGGTGGTTTCAAAGAAGATTTTCATTTACATATAATTTTAAAGACACAGACTCTCCCATACTGGTTCCTTCCTCCGGAGACTCTGGATGGCACTTAAAAGCATCATTTGGTTATTTTATTTATCCTCTGTTGCAGTCTGATGTAAACACTGTATGCTTTGCTGATGAGAGCGGCCATCTCATATATTCTGGCAGTGACGACAACCTCTGTAAGGTAAGGTTCATTGGTATTTATATGGTATAAGATGTAGAAACCATGATTGCTTCATTGTTTGGTACTCTTTTTTTCATTTTTTAAACTCTGGTTTTCCTTATTGTAGTTGCTGAAATGTCACTCTTAAAAACTGTGATGTTATCAACGATTTGTTCTTTGCTAGAGTTGCTCAAATCTTAAGATTCAGTAGCCCAGCCTCAAATCCTAAGTAATGGGATGCTTTTCTTTTTTATGTTGTCATATCTCTCTCTTGGGTTGGGGGGTTAAGTGCCTCATAAGTTCTTTACTATTGAGCTATGAAGTCCCCATGAAGTTTAGGCCTCTCTATTTCTTGCACAGGTGTGGGATAGACGCTGCTTAATGACGAAAGGAAAAGCAGCTGGGGTCCTGATGGGACATCTTGAAGGTGTTACATTTATTGATAGTCGGGGAGATGGGCGTTACTTGATATCAAACGGGAAGGACCAGACTACCAAACTCTGGGATATAAGAAAGATGTCCTCTACAGCCATTTAGTACGACTGCGTTACTTGTTTCCCTTTTCTGCTCATGTTAACTTATTGGCTTTCCGTTTGGTGCTGTAGAAATATGAAATTTACTGCTGTCAGCATGTGATAAGTTGACTTAATTTTACTATATTGTCCTCCCATTATTTTGACTCTATACTATTCTATAGTGTGGAAAATAGTTTTGTGGTATTTGGGCTTAGAATAATGTGGTTAAATTGATGTTTCATGCTTAAAGTTTATATGGTCTAAAATACCGGGGAACATATAGTAGCGGAAAAGAGGACTATTTGCGAGTAGTTACTATAATTGACGTTGGAATATTTCTTGTATTTATTGAACCATTTATCATATTAAAGCAGCTTTGTGAGATCAAGCGAGTACAGCAGCTTCTATTATTAGAGCATGCTGGGATATCTCTTATTTTTGTTGAACCATTCTATTTGTACCATATTAAAGCATGCAGTTCATGGATCTTAATTTGAATTTTGAACCCGTCTGCTCATGCTTGTCTGTGTTCACATTCATGTCGAATGACTTTTGTTATTTAGGTACTGGCTCAGAGCCTAGACCCTTTCTTGGTTCAATGTAATATTTTTTTGGCCACTGATTTTCAACTTTCCAACCAGCAGTCCAAGGCGTACATATCGTGACTGGGATTACAGGTGGATGGAGTACCCATCTCATGCAACAACTTTGAAACATCCCAATGATCAATCCTTGGCTACATATAGAGGCCATGCAGTCCTGCGCACTTTAATTCGCTGTTACTTTTCTCCAGCATATAGGTAATTTTTATTTCTTTATTCTAATCCTGTATTTAGGAGCTAATGGAAGACTTGGCACAAAACTAACTGCAGTGGCATTCTAGGATTCATACAGCCAACCCCACTTAGTGGGATAAGGCTCCGTTGTTGTTGTATTCTAATCCTGTATTTAGAATTTGTCTTAAAAACATTGTGCGAATTCAAAGATGCTGGAGTACGTGTTTGTTTCAATTCCTGTTTTCACAGTTATGTTCTGGTCTTGGTTCTTCATTATGTTTGATTCTAGAGTTCTGCAAAGTCCATATATCAGATTATGTTAGCCCTAGGGAAGTTGGTCAAGTAAAACAGCTGGAATGGATTGAACCTGCAATCTTGTTAGCTATTGTTTTGGTTTTAAGGCTTCTGGTTTTTCTGATAATATCATATAATCAGTAGGCTGTGTTGACTGTTGTTTAGGAGTATTGTATATGTTTCTAATTTCTATCCTGCGTATTGCAGTACCGGACAGAAGTACATCTACACTGGCTCAAGTGATCATTCTGTCTATATATATGATCTGGTACATAACTGACCTTTTATGTTTCTCGTCATCAAGACCATGTTTTTCTCATGTCATTCTCTTAAGGAAAACGTAATGGGATGATTCTGCAATCTTGTTTCATATTCATTTCTACCAACCGTAAAAAGGATGTTGATACATAATTGGTTCGTGTTCCCGATTAGTTAGGAAAAATATAAAGATGCTTTGAAATGTAAATGATGGTACGAGGTTTCTTGTAGGAAAGCAAGAATCGTGGTTGGCATTCCTTAATGAAATTAACACCCTCGTTAAAAAGTTTCGTAACTTTGGCCTGTAGGCTTGTTATTACTGTTGACTTATATTAGGATTCCTATAATTGTGGGATTCCTACTGTAATTGGTTTCCTAGTTTAGGATGTAATTATTCTTCCCTTATTCTTTCCCATATCTGTATAGGGTTGTATATATACCTTGTTTTTGATATGAAATAATATATCATTGAAAAGCATTCTTTCTTCTTGGCACCAGAGCCGGGTTAGAAAAAAAAACTGAACCCTAGTTTTTTTCCTGCCGTGTACCTGATCCATTGCAGCAAGCAACCTTAGGGTTGTTACTGCCCGTTCCCTGACTGATTGCAGCGAGCACCAGAGAAGGTGTTGCTGCTCTGACCGATTGCAGCGAGCACCAGATAGGGTGTTGCTGCCCTGTTGATTTGTCCAACGTGTTCTAGGTCCCATCACCGCTGCTGTTTTTTTTTTTTCCTCTGCCTAGTTTGTGTCAGTCAACACCGAAGCAACAGAGAGATGGCTGAAGAAAAGGGGGCTGGTTCACAGATTGTTTCAGCGGCTGCTCCAATTATGGTGCAGTCAGAGAATTCAAGCTTTAATATTGGTATGGTTTTGGATGAAAAGAACTATGATTTATGGGCTCCTCTCATTCAAATTCATATTGCTGGAAGGAAGAAGATGGGATATCTTCGTGGGTCTATCAAGGCACCTAGCGAAGATGATCCTAAATATGATGATTGGTTTTCTGAAGATCAAAAAATTAAGAGTTGGCTTTTGTCTTCCATGAAGCCCGAGATTATGAAACGGTACATTCGGTTGTCTACATCGAAGGAGATTTGGGACTCCTTGAAGGCTGCCTACTTTGATGAGAATGACGAGGCTAGAATTTATTCGTTGAATCAGAAGGCATCCCGTCTGCGTCAGAATGGCCGACCCTTAGCTACCTATTTTGGGGAGCTCACTGAGATCTTCCAAGAATTGGATCACTTTAATAAAGTATCCATGGAGTGTGAGAATGACATAAAAGTGTTTCAGAAATCCACTGAGAGACAACGGGTCTATGTGTTTCTTGGTGGTCTTGATGATGGGTTTGATCAGGTGCGTGGAGAAGTGCTGCGGAAGGATCCCCCACTTGGCCTGCAGGCTTCTTATGCCTATGTTTGTCGAGAAGCCGATCGAAAGGAAGCAATGAAGACAGAGGTTGACAAGGGGGAGTCTGCTGCCATGGCAGCAAGGGCCCGTGGATCATCTAGTGGGTCGAATCGAGAAGGGGTACAAAACAGGCCTGGATCAACTCGGCCAAACCAGACAAGCCGGGATCGTCCACAAGGTAAGTGCCCACACTGTGGCCTGACGGGACACTCCAAGAGTCGTTGTTTTGAGCTGATTGGATATCCCGAGAATTGGGATAAGACCCGTGATCCTCGGTGCAACAAATCTCGAGCCTCCATTGTCGAAACCAAGAATGATTCGGATCAGATAGCGGACAAGGCATCTGCCATGATAGCTGCGGCAGGAAGTGATGGTAAGGCACTCAGTACTTCTACTTCTGTTATGAATAATACATGGATAATTGATTCCGGAGCTACTGAACATATGACTTGTGATTCTAGACAGGTTCCATCACTAAAAACATCCACACAAACCGAGGTCAATGTTGCTAATGGTAATGCCGTCCCTGTTATTGGGGAATGCGTTGTTTCCCTTTCTGATACCATGAAACTTGACACTGTTCTTGTGGTTCCCTCTCTAAATTATAATTTGTTGTCCGTTGCTCAAATAACCCTTGCCTTACATTGTTTGGTTATTTTTTGGCCATATTTTTGTGTTTTTAAGGACATCCGGACGCGGAAGACGATTGGTTATGGTATTAGAAGAGGGAAACTTTATTACTTGGAGTTGACCACCAGTAGTTCTAGCTTGCTGACTCAAGCTCTTTCCGTTGATGATTCTCAAGGGGTTACTAATAAAGTGTCAGACATCTGGATGTGGCACCGACGACTTGGGCATGCTTCCTTTGGTTATCTGCATAAGTTATTTCCTAGTTTGTTTGTCAAGACTGATGTTTCTCAGTTTAAGTGTGATGTTTGTGAAATGGCTAAGAGCCATCGAACCTCTTTTCCTCCCAGTTTAAATAAAAGTACTGTTCCTTTTATGATTGTGCATTCTGATGTATGGGGACCGTCAAAAGTAGCCACTTTTGGTGGTGCTCATTGGTTTGTTACTTTTATTGATGATTGTACCCGCATGACTTGGGTTATTTTGTTAAAGTCAAAGAGTGAAGTTAGTTCGGCCTTCCAACGGTTTCATAAAATGATTGCTGTACAATACAACAGGAATATCCAGGTTCTTCGCAGTGACAATGGGGGAGAATATGTTAATATGGAACTTCGTTCATTCTTAGAGTTGCACGGTATTGTTCATCAGACCACGTGTCCGTATACTCCTCAACAGAATGGGGTTGCAGAAAGGAAAAATCGACACTTGTTAGAAATGGTTCGTGCTTCCCTACTTGCGGCACATCTGCCGCTCCATTATTGGGGAGAGGCACTTATGTCTGCAACCTATCTTATTAATCGCCTTCCATCTCGGACTCTCGACTTCCATACGCCATTTCAGGCTCTCACATCTCAGACTAGCAGCCCCCCGACTCCCAATCTTCCCCCACGAGTCATCGGATGTGTTGCGTTTATTCACCTCCATCCACCTCAACGGAAGACTAAACTTGAACCTAGAGCTCTTCGTTGTGTTTTTTTGGGGTATGCTACTACCCAGAAAGGGTATCGTTGTTATCATCCTTCAAGTAAAAAGATGTTTATTACTCAGGATGTGAGTTTTCACGAGAATGAAATGTTCTTTGGTTCCTCCCCGTCCTCACTTCAGGGGGAGTACTGCAATGATGAAGTTCTGACTCGCGATGATATGGACGTGTTGAGCTTGGAGTACACGGCTTCTGGGGAAGGGCAGCAGCCCACGGCACCTGGGGAAGGGCAGCAGCCCGTGTTTTCTGGGTTTAGTCCTACCGAGCAGCCTACTGAGGAGCAGCCAACACGTCAGGAAGAGGAGCAGCCCACGGGTCTCACGGGTATTGAGTTGGAAGATGAGATGCAGCCGCCCAATTGCAGTGAAACAGAGCAGCAATTACAGCATGTGTCACGAGATACTACTTCTCATAACCAATCGTCTTCTACACCGGATGCACCTCCACTTCGTCGCCTTCCAGAGCGTATTAATAGAGGTATTCCCAAACCCACTTATGAGGCAGATCCTGAGTGTAAACACAAGTATTCCATGAGTGAGCCAAACTCTGATTCCAGAGTGAGATACCCATTAAACCATTATGTGTCTACCTGTCACCTGTCAGAATCAAATAAGTCATTTGTATATCAATTATCTACTGTATCTATTCCTAACAGTGTGCAGGAGGCTTCAGCAGATTCCCGCTGGAAAGATGCAATGAACGAAGAATTGAGATCGTTGAAGAAGAATGGTACCTGGGACATAATAGACTTGCCAGCCGGAAAGAAAACAGTGGGATGCAAATGGGTTTATACAATAAAATATAAAACCGACGGAACGGTAGATCGCTTTAAAGCAAGATTGGTGGCAAAGGGGTATACACAGAAATATGGCATTGATTACACTGATACATTCGCACCAGTGGCAAAGATCAATACAGTTCGTGTTCTACTGTCTTTAGCAGCAAATCTGGATTGGCCTTTGCAACAGTTCAACGTAAAAAATGCTTTCCTCCATGGAGATCTGACTGAGGAGATTTACATGGATCTTCCACCAGGGTGCAGTGATTCGGACAGACGGAAACAAAAGGTATGTAGGCTCAAGAAATCACTGTATGGATTAAAGCAGTCTCCTCGAGCCTGGTTTGGTAGATTTACCAAGTCCATGAGGGCATTTGGGTATATACAGAGTAATTGGGATCACACGTTGTTTCTGAAACACCAGAACGGAAAGGTTACGGCTCTAATCGTGTATGTGGATGATATGGTGGTTACTGGTGATGATCCTGTTGAGCAAGCAGCCTTGAAAAGTTATTTGTCCACAGAGTTTGAAATGAAAGATCTTGGTCCTTTGAAATATTTTCTTGGGATTGAAGTATCAAGATGCAAGTCCGGGATATTTCTATCACAAAGGAAGTATGTTCTTGACCTGTTGGAAGAAACCGGTATGACAGCATGTAAGCCGGTGTCTACTCCTTTGGCCGAAGGAATGAAGTTGGGTATAGATCAGAACCAAGTACCGGTTGATAAAGGGAGGTATCAAAGGTTAGTAGGAAGATTAATGTACTTGGCTCACACTAGGCCTGATCTTGCTCATGCCTTAAGTGTGATCAGTCAATATATGCACAATCCAGGAGAACAACATATGAGTGCAGTTATGAGAATATTGAGTTACTTAAAGGGAAGCCCTGGTAAAGGAATTTTATTTCGGAAAAATGAGCATTTCAGAATTGAGTGCTATACGGATGCTGATTGGGCAGGATCGACGGATGATAGACGCTCGACATCTGGGTATTTCACCTTTGTTGGGGGAAATCTAGTAACATGGAGAAGCAAGAAGCAGAATGTCGTATCAAGGTCAAGCGCAGAAGCCGAATTTAGAGGCATGGCACTCGGTATTTGTGAACTCTTGTGGCTTAAGTTTCTGTTGCAAGATGTGGGGGTTAAACAAGATCTACCTATGAAGTTATTCTGTGACAATAAAGCGGCACGGGATATTGCTCATAATCCTGTGCAACATGATCGGACCAAGCATGTAGAGGTTGATCGGTTCTTTATTAAAGAGAAGCTAGATAGTAAAGTAATTGAGGTTCCTCCCATAGGAACGGACGACCAAGTAGCAGATATTCTCACGAAGGCGGTTTCTAGTAACAAGTTCTCCAGATTTCTAGACAAGTTGGGCATGTGCAACATCTATGCACCAACTTGAGGGGGAGTGTTGACTTATATTAGGATTCCTATAATTGTGGGATTCCTACTGTAATTGGTTTCCTAGTTTAGGATGTAATTATTCTTCCCTTATTCTTTCCCATATCTGTATAGGGTTGTATATATACCTTGTTTTTGATATGAAATAATATATCATTGAAAAGCATTCTTTCTTCTATTACTACAAAGGCCAGTAAAACTGGCCATCATACTCACTTCAAAATGCTATATCTTGAGAATGTGGTATTCGACCTCTAGTAATTTGTTTGTTTTGTTCTATAAAGGTGACTGGAGCTCAAGTTGCGAGACTAGACCATCATGAAGGACCTGTAAGAGACTGTAGTTGGCATCCTCTATATCCCATTTTGGTCAGCTCTTCTTGGGATGGGACCGTTGCCCGATGGGAATTTCCTGGTGATGACCAAGTTCCCACCCTGATGAGGCCAAAATTACGCCCAAGGAGAGTCTTCTACTGAGGAAGGCTCATTGTTTTGCGCTTCACAAGATGTTTAAGTATTTAAACTGGTTCATGATTTTCATACATTCTGTAACGTTATACTGCATTTTTTAAAGAAAGTTAGCCGTAAGTTGAGAGAAATTATAGGTTCTTGGTAGCTTTTAACGCATGTAAATTATGTAATCTTATGTATTCTGAATCAAAACATTGTATAAAGTTTCACTCATATAGAAAACGTTATCTGAAAACGTAATCTTTTTACATTTTTACACCTTGACACAATTGGTTAACGATATTCGGTACTATGACATGCATGAATGTCGGTTTCACTACAAGTTATACTTGCCAAACAGAATGTTCATGATGCAGCTAACCGCTTCTCCAGTTCGTCCTTTCAGAACCTCACCCACAGCCTCCTCGTCCGGCACAAATCCCTTGCTTTTCATTACCCGTAAAAACTCACTCCTGTCCTCTACCGCCCTGTCCCCTTGCCTCGCGAAGCCCCCAAAAACTGCGGTGTAGGTAGCAGCATTGGGATGCATCCTCTTCTCCATCATCTCCAGCCAGTACTTCTTGGCATCCCCAAAGAAGTTGGGGTCAGTAGCAAGTGCCTTGATGAAGACACTATAAGTGTAGCAGTTCGGCATAATCCCAACAGCCGACATGTGTTTATAAGCCTCAAAAGCACCCTTAATCTTGCCGGCAGTGGCATAGGCCTCAATGACAGCGGTGTGGGTGACAATGGCGGGTAGTACGCCTATGTCAAAGAACGGCTCAAAGAGCTCCTTGACCTCATCCTTAAAGCCGTCATCTACCATACCTTCGACCATATCCATTATATGTTTCATGCTGATGGCTGCGTCGGTGCGCCACCTGTAGAAGATTTTTCGCGTCTCCTCATCAGTCGTTTTGGTGGCATAGTCGGACATCCTATATGCATCGAATGCCTCTTCGAGGTGTTTGTGGCATTCAAAGTACTTCTGATTTTCAAGATCAAACCCCCTATGTTTAAGGGAACTTTAATGAAAAGTTCCCGGTACTGTTTACTTTAACGAAAAACCACATTTTTACATTAAAAAGTCAATCCTGATACTATTCACTTGACCCTTTATTTTGTCCTTATCGTTAAAATTCAAAGTTTTCAAATCATTTTCTTTAGTTTTCCTTATATTTAATTCTTCACAAACTCCCTGCCCTCCGCCACCACCTTCTCCTTATCGTCCAACTGGCAGGCTCCATCACGAAGGTGTAGGCAGGGGGATCAGGCACCATTCCTTTGTCAAGCATTTGCAGAAAGTACTTCTTGGCATACTTAACGGCAACGGGGTATGGTTTCTGGAAAGCGAGTCTCTTGATGACCATATTGTATGTTTCAGCCTTAACGGGGATCCCACATCCTAACCTGTGCAAGATTTCTTGTATATCTTCCGGGTCTTCTTCTTCTTTGCCTGATAATGTAATGGAAGGAGAAACAAAAAACTTCAGTGCTTCAACTATATTCTCTCGAAATATCAAAATCGATTGCTAACTACCGAGCATGGCGATCAATCAATATTGCAGGAAAACTAAACACCAGTATTCTTGTAGCAGATTTGTGACCCCCTAGCCCTCACAGCCTTCGCAAACTCCATGTACTCATTGTCCTCTGAATCAGCTCCCTTGATCACGGCTTTGAGAGTATCGTCATTGGGCCATGTTCCGTTATCCATCATCTCAAGAAAGTATTTCCTGGCATCCTGAATGAAATCCGGGTCAGCAGCCAGTGCCTGGATGAGAATGCTTTAAGTATATAAATTGGGTTTGATCCCATTGGCCAACATGTGCTTGTAAGCCTTGAGAGCACCCTTAGCCTTCCCGGCATTGGCGTAGGCCTCAATCACGACAGTGTGGATGGCCACGTCGAGCAGTATGCCCTTCTCCTTGGTTTGTTTAAAGATCTCCTTGGCTTCGTCAACCTGGCCCTCCTTTACCAGACCATGGTACATCCTCAATGCATCTTTCCTAATTGAAGTGGAGCGCATTTGTAATAGCCTGAAAATTTAAAATATATGATTATGTGGAGTAACTCGAGAATAAATAGATTTATGGTTGTAAAAATTTGATTAGAGAAATTTTAGAATTTTGTTTTCGGAATTTATTATAATTAAAAAAAAAAGAAAAAAAAAAGGTAAGAGGAGTTTGGAAGCTGCCAGATGGCAGCATGAGAGAGGAGGAAAATGAGAGATGCGAGAGAGAAGGAGGAGGGGGACCATTCGGGAAAGGAGGGGAAAAAGGGAGCCCAATCAGAAAGAGGAAAGGGAGGGGAAAAGAGAGAGTAAAAAAAAAGAGGAGAAACGAGCTAACCCGTATACCCATCGGACCCTACCTGTATTGCCCCCTTCGTGGCGCTTTTCCGTTCGTTTTCCAGCCAAGCCACCTAACCACCTGGGAAACACTCTAAGGGTGCGTTTGTTGCACCGGACTGTCTCGGACTGGACTAGCTGCTGGGACTAAGTTGGACTGGCTTAGACTAGACTAAGCTGGACTAACTTAGTGAAGCGTTTGGTGCAGTGTTGGACTATAAAATCGGATAATAAACAAACTATAATATTATATTATTTAATGCATATATTATAATATATTATAATATTTAATGTATATATTGTAATATTTTATATTATTTGATGCATACATAATAATATTTTATTATTTAATCAACCTTTTAACCTTTTTTTCTCTTGGAAAACTATCACTCTGGAATCATCTCTTCTTTTCTCCTTCTGGCTCCGTCCATTTCTTCTTTTCTCCCTCATTTTCCTGCACAACGCAGGTGTGAAGCTCATCACAAATCCTTCAAAAAAAAGCTCATCATCTTCACCCTCTTGCCGCCATTAAGCATCTCCACCTTCCTCATTTTTTTTTCTTCCAAAAATTTTCGGATCTCTCTTCCATCTGATACATGATTTGGCTTCTCTGCCTGCAAAGCCATCTCGGAATTTTCTGGCACGGGGTGGACTTTGAATTTGGTGGTTGGATTTGGTTGTTGTTATTGTTTTGCGTTTTTTTTTTAATTTTGTGGTTGGATTTTGAGATTTAGGCAGTGGGTGAGGCTTTTGTTTCAGATATGGGGGGTGGGCAAACGGTGTTGCAGAGAAGAACGCTTGCAGACGATGCAACGGGCAAACGAATCAGATTTGGGAACGGGATTAGCAATCCCATACCTATTGGGGATCCTCGCTAAGACGACCTAACGAAAGACTTAGTCGGTGCGAGTCCGACTTAGTCTCATTAACGGTAGTCCTTGTTCGCACCAAACACTGGCTAGCAATCCCAGCTAAGCCAGTCCAATCCAAGGAAATTTAGTGAGGGCAAACAAACGCTCCCTAAGACCTTCCCTCTACCCATTCCACCCCAAATTTGATGAAATTTGGCCTTGAAATTGTGAAACCCTGCAACGGGGTTCTGGTGGCGATTCCTCAAATCCTAAAGCTAAACCCTTCAATTACCACCACATTTGGACTCGCCTTGAGGCCTGGAACAAAGCTTATACATTGGTTGGGGCGTTGACGCTGTTTTGGAGTTGAATCAAGAACACCCAATTCAAGGGTTTTCGAAGGTTCGAGGGCAATTTGTGGTGTTTCCTGGTCGAATTGGACTTCAGCTCAGGTATGAAAGTTGTTCCTCTCATTGAAACCTACTTGCTTGTAAAATTTGGTAATTTTTGGAGTTCGTTGGAAAACTAGGTTTCCGTTCATCGGAAACCGCTGCCTACGGCAGTGCGTGGCCAGTGGGCCGATGCTGCCTTTGTTATGCAAATTTTGATATTCTGAATTCGTTTATGGTATCCATTTGATGTGTTTCAATTGTTAAATATAGTACTGAATATTTCCTCCTTGTGATTATTTTTGGAAATGGATTAAAAATGATTTGTGAACTACGATTGGCTTGATCCCTCCAAATGGTACATAGGCAGTCTAACGAGAAGTTAGATGCAACCATAGAATAAATGAGATTAATTTTTAGCGGAGAATTAGAATGGTTATTAACTTAAGGGTTAACCATGACTTTATTTTTGGCCTACCACTAAATGTAAATTTTGAAATAAATTAGCAAGTCGGGGAGTTACAGCATCTTTTTGAAAATTTGTTGCATTTCCTTATCACTAGTGTCTTTGGTTTCATCTTCAAGCTCTTTCCCTTGACGAAAATCAACTTCTGTTGGCATGAACCCCTTAGCTTTAACCAGCTCCACAAACTCCTCCCTGTCTCTGCCTTCATCAATTCTCTCAACCAAGGCAAAGTAGGTCCCCAGAGTAGGTTGCAATCCCTTGTCCAGCATCTCCACAAAGTACTTCTTCGCAAACTCAACGAAAAAGGAGAAATTGAGGTTGCTTGGGGAGCAAGCAGTAAGTGCCTTGATGGTTACAATATATGTTATATGTCCCACATCGGTGGGGTTCAAAGAAACCTAATGGGTTTAAATAAGATTACCCTACTCTAACTAATACTGAGGCCTTTATGGTAAAACCTCACACCTGGCGGATTGGGCATATGGTAAAGTTGGGGACAATATCAGTGTCGTTAGAGTGGGGGCGGGCCCGGCGATCCAAAAATCTAACAGTATAGGTGTATGCATTAGGGTTCACCCCGGTTTCTAACATGTACAAGAACACTTTGAAAGCATCATTGGTTCTTCCGGCATTGGCGTAGTGCTCTATGACTGCGGTGAGAGGGATGACATAGGCTCTGAATCGAACTAAGCCGCCTAAACGGACTAACGATGCCACCACACCCAGTTGAGCTCCAGAATGATAGGCAAAGCCCGTAAACCTTGTTGATGTCGACCACGCTTGTTCCGCAAGACATGGAAACCTGATCTGACAAGAGATCAAATTGGTTTTCTATATTCTTAGACAATCTTACAAACTAGGAATTGGCATGCACAACAAGTAATCACAATATAAAAAAGAAGCAATATCTTATGTTAGATATATTTTGGAATTCTTCCGGTTTAACTGGATTCTATATCTTAAAAGGGTTATCCCTCGACTAGTATAAATAACCCCATCTAGGGCTCATCTATGGTAATGCCTTCATAATGCATACTTTGCTCTAGCCCACTGCTTGAATTAGAAGTTTAAAACTTTACAAACATAATTAAATTTTTCTAATAATCGCTTGAGTGCTTGAATTAGCGACCATTCATCAGGGGTCAACCTAAACAATATATGTTTACTTCCATTAGCAGTATCATTTGATGATATTATTCTTCATTTGTAAGAGCATTACAATAAAATGATGCAAATTTAAGATGTAAAAATCACATCCACTTCCAATTAAAAAATGGAGGTGTATTGTTATACATCCTCAACTGAAGACGCTCTAAAATATTGTGTAATTATACACACACATATATATATATATATATCTGCGGCATCTCCAATTCAAAGTCCTTGCATGTTCTATTCCAACTATAAAATTACACAAAAGTCCTTAACTGGTGCTAACGGGTTTCGCGGGTTGACCTAAAATGATCAGTTCCTTAACGGGTGACTAACGGGTTGACCCGTTAAGCACTCACCCAAATACTAGTTTTAATGGGTCGGGTTCAAAATGCCAGCCCTAACTGGTGGCAAGCCACAATTATCCACCTATTCTGGATGCCGAGAAGACTCATAAAGGCATTTCAACCTTTCCGGGCCACAAGTTTGGCTTCAACACTAGCAGCGGGTTTCGAACCTAAGACCTCCAGTTTTTAGTTTTAAGAAAGTCTCATAATCCATCATTTACCACTAGATCACCAGCTCGTGGTTATAGCTGATCATCTCTAGTTATATACCAAAAGAACCATTTTTGATAGCAATCCAATTGTGGAATAACGTAACCTTGCCTACACAGATTAGACTATACTTGGAACCCCCACCCTTCTCACACACCAAAACAACAAAATCTACTTTCCCCTCCAACGCCAAAGCCATCGCCCGACTGACATAACCAAAACACCCAAGCAACGGAGGGCTCGAAAAGCAGACGAAAATGGCGTCGCCGGCAGCAAGGATCACCTTCCGCATAGTAATCATAGCTCTGGTTGTTCTCGTCCTCTTCTACATCGGCCGCCCTCTCTACTGGAAAATCTCCGCCACCATCCACGAGATCCGCCAAAACAGACAGACCGTTAAACAAGGTACCATTTTTTCACTTCTTTTTTATTCTAATTGCGATTTTTTTCTTCTAATTTAGTGTTTTGGGGGCCGAATTCTGTTCAGGTATATCGCAGATTGTTCTGGAAGCTCAGAAATCGGTCGGTTGGTACCACGACGAATCGGACTCGGGTGCCCGCGACTATCGGGCCGCGAAGAATGTCGGGTTGGCCAAGAACCGGAGGCTGCTGCTCCTCCAGGTTTCGTGAAAACGCTTGATTTTTCCAAAATTTACTGCTTTGTAATAGTGAGTTTACAGTGGGCCTGTTCAGATCTGGTCACATTTCGAATGAATCGGTTAAATTCTGTTGAATTAATGTGTTTGGGGGGATGAAATGCTTCTTCCTGAAACTACTAAATGTTAGAAAAGTTTGTACAACCGCAATGCTGGATTACGTATCGGTCTCGGAAAATATATAGAGTTCTACTCAGTTTAATTATATAGCTATATTGTTTTGATTAAGTTTGGTGTTGCCTTTGTGTTTTGAATTTCGGTATGCTTTCGAATCTGAAGTTAAAGGCGATGAATTTGATTATTCGTATGCCCTGGATTGACTGTTTGTGCATATCATTCATGAATGCTTCTCTGCAAGTTGTTATGTTAGTTTTCATCGTAGTCTTCAATGCCCAATAACTTTTGGTTTATGATCCAACAGATGATAATTATTCGAAACATAAAGACAATAGTTCGCATTTGAGTATTAGTTGTTGTATTTTGATCCAATAGCGTGAATAAGAATGAGTTTCGTGTTCCTTGATCAGTAAGAGAACAATGTTGTTGGAAAAAAAAATTATTTAGGATTCTATGAACATGTCATTTCCCTAGTTGGTTTGGGTGCGAAGACTAATTTTCTAAAACAAGTACCCTTTTGGTCCAGAGGACGAGCCTTAGCGCAACGGAAATGTTGCTCCTTTGTGACTCTGGAAATAGCCTTTTTGCAAACAAGCCCCCTCCTTCCCGGTGCGACCCTGGCTAAGTGGGAGCCTTGTTGGCTTGGGGTTGCCCTTTAAGTACATTTGTGGTCCTCAAGGGACCTCAACAAGCACTAGGTGTTAATATAACTACTATCATCAAAGTTTAGCAAGAAGGTCTAGATCTTTCTTCAGGTTATTATGAGTCATGGACCATGGTTAATGATGTAAAGCATCTCTAAAGGTTAAGTATACCTCAAAACTCCCTCGGTTTGGACTAGGCACCTTTTTGTTAACGGTTGCATTCAACCATTTTGTTTGCTAAACCGCGCTTAGAACCTTTCACTTCCAGCAGTAGACAAGTCCTAGTGTTGTTTCCTTCATGTGGGTTGCATGTGTAAACCAGGGAGGGAAAATGAGAATCACATAGCAACGTTGATATCGGATGTTAGAACTTTAAGGATTTTTTTTTGCAAGAATTTTTGTACATAGATGATAGATTTATAGGAAAACTAATGAAAAGGGCTTGAAAACTTTGGAGTTTTAATGATAAGGACAAAATAAAGGGTAAAGTGAATAGTACCAGGATTGACTTTTTAGTGTAAAAATGTGGTTTTTCGTTAAAGTGAACAGTACCGGGTGCTTTTCGTTAAAGTTCCCTAGATTTATTGGGTAGAAACTGAGGAAGCCAGTAAGAACTTCCAAGTATAGGCTGATTTTGTTTAGGTAGCTGTTCTACCTGTATGGGCCACTACAGTTGCTGCATTACAATGCCTGTAGATTGTGGCCCAACCAAAGCTCTAGTTCTTCCAACTTCCTTTCAAACTTAAACAACCAAAGTGGCGTGTTCTTGCAAAGAATGGAACTGATTACTTTTTGTTTGGGGATTGGGGGCTGGTGTTTTTTTTTTTTTGGGGGGGGGGGACTGGGAGGAATGGGACCTTGTTTTTTTTTTTCAACACATGACTTACCTTTTTCTCATCATTTTAACATTTATGATTAATTTGACTGCCAAAGTTAATTAGGTCCCGATTGGGATTGCTTTGGTAAGAAATACTTTTGCTAATAAGTACCTATGATAAATTACTTGTATTACAAACTCTCTTGATATTTTTTTATAAATTAAGTGTTTTCCCAAAAAATCACTTAGAAGTGCTTCTTGAAGCATTTGAACTGTACTTTCCAAAAAGCTTTTGTATGACCTATGACTTGTTTGGAACTGTTTCTTTAAAAAGAGCTTATGTTCAGAAGTACTCCGGTAAAAGCACCCATTAGAAGCACATTAAACTTTTTTAATAGAGATGCAAATGCTTCCTGAAAGCACTTAAGCATGAAGTGCTTTTTATTAAGGCTTCTTAGCCAAAATAGTTCCTGAGATTTGCATAACTTTTCACTTTGATCCCTAAGATTTAAAATGAATAGAAATGGTCATTGAGATTGTCCACTATTAATTATTTGGCTTTTTCGCCAAAATAGTTCATGAGATTTTCATAACACATAAATTTAGTCCTTAGATTTAAAATTAATAGAAGTGATCATTGAGACTGTCAACCATCAATTATTTTGGTCATTCCGTTAAAAACCTCTGTTAAGTGGTCCATGAGCTTTTTAATGGAAGGACTAAAATGATAGATGATGGATAATTTCAGAGACCAAAGTTATGTGTTATGCAAATCTCATGGATCAAAATTATGTGTTATGCAAATCTCAGGGACCAAAGTTATGTGTTATACCCTCAACTTAACGGAGTTTTTTAGCGGAATGATCAAAATAATGGATGGTGGACAATATCAGGGACCGCTTCTATTGATTTTAAATCTTAGAGACTAAAGTTATATGTTATGTAAATCTCAAGGATCATTTTGACTAAAAAGCCTCAATTATTTTGGTCATTTGGTGAAAAATTATGTTAAATAAAGATCAAAATGACAAAATTACCCTCAAGTTAATAAACAATAGGCCAAACTAATTTGAAAAAAAAAAGAGGGTATTTTTATCATTTTATTTTTATTTTATAGAGATTTTTCAAGGAATGACCAAAATGATTGATTGTAGACAAACTCAGAGACCAATTCTATCGATTTCAAATCTCAAGAACCAAAGTAAGAAGTTATGCAAATCTCATAGACCATTTTGAATAAAAAGTCTTTATTAAAGCACTTTGAGGTGTTTTCTAAGGAAACACACAACATGTGTGCTTCTTCAAAAAAGAAAATGTTTTTTTTAATCCAAAAATAACTTTTTATACCAAGCACGGTGAGAAAAACTTCAAGTAATTTTAAAAAGTAGTTTCAAATTAACACGCCTTTGTAAGTATTATAAATTTTCTATCAAACACAGTTGTGAGTGTTTTAGTTGTTATAAAGCGCTCTTGGCCTTTCCATAAGCAACCCCAAAACATGCCTAATCATCTTCGACTTCAACTACCTGCAACACAACCCTTTAAAGCTTTAACCCTTTATTATTTTTTTACTTTAATTTACATTATAGGGAGAAGGGCGACGGTTTAAACGCAGTTGGTTGAAAAGAAGCTGATATGCAACCTATCGTGCATCCACTCTTACAACTTAGACGATTTTCTTGAGTGAAACTGAATCATCTTCCTTAGATTAAACTTGTTTTTGCTATAGTCTAGTTGTGAGAGTGTGATGCTCATATTACTTTCTATTGGTATACATTTAATAACTCAAGGTTACCTAACATGTCGGTGGGGCGACTAATCTTATCAAAATTCATTCCTTTTGAACAATTCGTATCCATTGAATATATATATATTTTTTCAAATCTGTTTGTTTTTGAATAAAACGAAACTGACATGCATGTTTTGGAAGTCACCTTAGATAAATTATACAGGACAAGGATTGTCTGCCCTCCCACTTTCGGTGTTTTTCTGTTTTGTGTGGTTATGGTTAAGTCACGTCAACATTTTATATTGCTTTTTTTATAGAAATAATAAGACAAAAATGAATAGTAATATAAAATGTTGACGTGGCTTAACCGTGATCACACAAACAGGAGGGCACGGAAGGCTCCTTGTCCAATTATACATGACCATGTTATCATGATTACTATTTCCCCTAGCTTGTTGACTATTCTGCGCAGATGTTATGCATCTCCAAGGTCATGGCTTTCCAATTCGCATTCGTACACACATGCCTGCACCATACTTGTCCCCTTCCTTACATGAAAAGAAATGAAAACAAAATTGAATGGTCATGGAGAAACCCATAACCCATGCATTGACTTTGAGTTTTCTTAGTTTTATATTAAATTCCAACTATCGAGGGTTTAAGTGTACACATGATCCAAGTATTTTAGCAATATTTCTTTATTATCGACGACATAACGATTAAATATTGTGAGAACAACAATTAAACATTGATAATATAGCGATCACATAAGATGATATACTAAAAACAATTCATCTCAACAAGTGAGATATGAAAATTAATCATTTTAATCAATTGTCCAAGAATATTACAATGTATAAATCAAACTTCCAAGTGCAGATGGAACCGCTCACCACTTTCTTTGATGAGCAGTATTTAATTTCATTTTCTACATCAATGGAATGGATTAATTTGCGATCAATCTAGAAGACTTGAAGTGGATTGGTTAGGTTTTATAATGTTTTAGAGTTATCTATTAGTAGAAATTGCAGTGAACACCCGGAGGTTATGGAGCATGAGCTATATGAACACTATCAAGTTTTGTAGCTTTTACATGTGTGGGTTTGACTTTGTATTCTCACTTTAATTAAACTATAGAAATTGCTAAATGATCTTAACAATTAAGCTACAAGCCCTTGTGATTGTGAAATATATTGCAGAAATATACCAACTATTTATATGATCAAATATAACAAA